GGTCGAGGCTGCGGAGGCCGGGAGCGGCCACTGCACTCCAGTCTGGGTGACCGAGTGAGATTCCAACTAAAAAAAAAAAGATATTCCCGACCAGGCACAGTGGCTCACACCTATAATCCCAGCACTTTGAGAGGCTGAAGTTAGAGACCCGCCTGGGCAACTTGGAGAGACCTCATCTCCACAATATAAACCAAAAAATTAGCCAGGCCTGGTGGTGCATGCCTGCAGTTCCAACTACTTAGAAGGCTGAAGTGGAAGAATCGCCTGAACCCAGCAGATCGAGGTTGGAGTGACCATGAGTATACCACTGCACTCCAGCCTGGGCAACAGAGTGAGACTCCACTCAAAAAAAAAAAAAAAAAAGAAAAAGAAAAAAGATGTTCTTACACATGCACTTAAAGATCTGGGATCAGGCTGGGCTCGGTGGCTCAGGCTGTCATCCCAGTACTTTGGGGGGCTGAGGCGAGTGGATTGCCTGAGCCCGTGGGTTCAAGACCAGCTCGGGCAACTTGGCGAGACCTCGTCTCTATAATAAAAAAAAAAAAAAATCAGCTGGGCATGGTGGCACATGCCTATGGTTCCAACTACTTGGAATACTGAGGTGGAAGGATTGCCTGAGTCCAGCAAGTCGAGACTGTGGTGGCCGTGAGCATGCCACTACACTCCAGCCTAGGCAACAGGGTAAGACTCCAACTCAGAAAAAAAAGAAAGAAACATTGCTGAGTGAAGAAATGAGAAATGGGAACGTTGTGTGTGGCATGCAGCACACACAGTTTATGTTGGAATGATGTGTCTTTGGAAGAGTACCCAGGCAAGGGCAAACGGCCATTTCTGGGGAGAGTAGCCAGGAGCTAAGTGCCAGAGATCAGAAGAAGATGTACTTTTTACCATACTGCCTTTCTCCTTCCTTTGAGACCGGATCTTACTCTGTCTCCCAGGCTGGAGTGCAGTGGTGTGATCTTGGTTCACACCCTACACTCAGATGAACCCCCTCCCTCTGCCTCTCAAGAAGTTGGGGTTACAGGCACATGTCACCGTGCTTGGCTCTTTTTCTTGCATTTTTTTTAGAGACGGGGTCTTGCTATGTTGCCTGGCTGGTCTTGAACTCCTGGTCTCAAGCGATCCTCCTGCCTTGGCCCTCCAAAGTGCTAGGATTATAGCTATGAGTCACTATGCCCGGTTTGTTTCATTTCGTTTTTATATTATTTATTTATTTATTTATTTATTTATTTGAGTTGGAGTCTCACTCTGTCACCCAGACTGGAGTGCAATGGCCGCTCCCGGTCACC